TGTATAAAAGATTTTAATTAAATTTCAATAAAGACAGAGACATGGTCTCACCATTAATATTCAAAAAAAAATAAAAATACAAATATCGAATATTTATAACTAAAATAACTAAGTAAAATTTATGCTAAAAATCTACTTTGTAACAACACTAAGAAATATTTCTCACACAATATTTCATTACTAGATAATATATTAACACTCATAGATAATATAAATAAAAAACATGATTTCTTAATCAGTTTACTATTAGAACAAATCTTAGACCTGGCCACTTGGGTACTAGACACTCAAATATGCTGAAAAACCTTATTCAATGCCAGAAATTTAGAAAATGCACAACATCTAAGGAAGCATATTAACAATGCTATAGAAAAAAGATATAATTATTTATTAACACAACCTACCAAAATGATTAACAGTATACTAAATAAATATAAAAAAACAATTCACTTCCATAATATTAAAACAAATATATATATTATTACTAATCCTACAGAAATCAAAGAACATATACCTAATCACTATAACAAATGGACAGCACATCATCTATTTAATAATTTTATCTTTAATCAAGACTAGTAATTAGAATACTTACCAAAAACTAATATCAATACCAATTAATATAATTCAATATTAGAAGAAATTACAATAACAGAAGTTCTACAAACAATTTAACAACTTCCAAATAATAAAGCTAGTAAACTATCAGGCATTACCTATAAGATGATCAAACACACAGGACCAGAAATGCTTTAGGCAATCACTGCACTATTAAATAGATACCTCAGAACACAGAACATCCCTAAACAATGAAAAAATAGTAGAATATATTTCATCTCAAAGAAGCCTCAATTTGATGAAAACCTTAATAACACTTGACCAATTAGTCTTATAAAACATACAAAAAGACTATACACTAAAATTCTAACCAATCGCTTAATACAAATACTTTCAAAACACACAATTCTTAATCCTCATAATTATGTTACTCTCCTAGAAAACTCTACCAATAATTCTATACACATACTCAATAACTTTATAGAAGATGCCAAATGTACTAAAAAACAAATTTAGATCCTATCACAAGATATAAGTAAAGCTTACAACTCAGTAAATCTCTAACTTCTTAACAAAGCTTTATTACGGCTTAATATACCTTTATATTTAGTTAATATTATAACAAACCTCTTGCTTGACCACTCCAATCAAGTCATCAGTAACTTTGGGCTCATATCCTTTAGTGGCTTAATAGTTAGGACGTGGAACCAGGGCACAAAATTCTATTGTAAAATACCGGAGGTCCGTTTAGTTAAGTTGACTTCCGGCGTAGTTTTAAAGCGGCCGGAAATTTTATAATATTACAGCTATTATCATTATTTCTGGGACACCTGAAGAATTTTCAGATAACCGAAATATCCTCTGTTTCATTCGGTAAATTACCTAACTTCTCGGAAACTATATCGCTGTCTTCAGACCTTCAGTCCGAAGACAGCGACGTAATTTCCGGAGAGCTAGATAATTGACCGAATGAAACAGAGGATATTTCGATGTTCCAGAAATAATGATAATAGCTGTAAATATATTGCAGGAGTGTCTAAATTTCGTTTACCGAAAAAAAAAGCAGGTTACATCACCCGGAAATTTTGTGCCCTGCGTGGAACTGCTGTGAGTGGGTTCTAGTTTCGAGCGACTGAGTCGTAGATCCGTAACTTTCGTGAACGTTACATCTTCATTTTAATCGTACGTACTATATAATTTATCTTGAAAATATAAAGAATATTTATATCTTAACCCAATTATATATAAAATAAACCATTCAATTTTACAAACATTTATTATTCGACTTCATTGCATTAATATAGATTTATTTTATGAATATATATTTACATAATTTAGTTTAATCTATCACAGCAAGTATTTATAGGAAATATCAGAAAATTTTGGAGAATTCGTTGAGTCGATAAATCCATGTCGACTACAAACACTATGTTAAAATTGGAAGCGTGAAATTATCACTAAAATCATTACATAGCCCGATAATAATTTTTTGGAAATTCTTCAACCCCTTCACGGTTGTCATGTGCAAGTACTTCATGATGTGAGCTAAAAACATATGAGCAGAATTATTATGAGGCGCATGTTATCTCGGGACGTGTATGGGCATTATTTCAAAACTCAAACATGCTAAATTTTTAGAGGATGGTTTTCGAAATAAGGAAATATTTTTTTACAAATTTAGAATAAATGGTGTGAAATAATTCATGTGAAACGCAAACGATTAATATTAGAAATAAAACAAAGCAAATAGTTTTTTCGGACGTTAATAATATTTACAAATTATCAAATGAGTATAAAAATAAAATTAATTCAAACAATATTGAATGATTTTTAAAGTGTTTATGGAAAGGTTCGGCCAAAATGTCGAAAGCATTTGTAACACTACATCATCTTTCGTTATTCCACCCTGCATTATTTCCAAGCTTAATTTTTCCCTTAATTCCCTAACATATTTTATAGAATTTAATAATATATGCTTATCAGGTATTTCATGGTAAATAAGCCATTTCGCTAAATATTGCAATAATCTTTTTTTACTCTCTTCTCCTCCAAGTTGTTCAGCAGATGGAAATTCAGTATCTGTAAAATAGGAATGTAAAAACTTGGAAAAATATCTTGGTACTTGACTGGTGTTTGTGTTATTTGCTGCGTTGGCTGTACTTGACGAAGGTGAATATTCAGCAAGGAAAGTTACAAAAACATCGAAAGGAATTTCGAAATATCGCTCCATTATAAACCTTAAAGATGCAATAAATTCTTTCTTGATAAGCATCTCATCGGTTAATCGACTTTTGTTTTTTTGATCTTCTGCGTTATCCTCGCTGCGGTATATTATTTCTGGTATGTTTTCATAATACTCAAGAACTAACATGACGTTCCATAAATCCATTTCATTAATTCCTTCCATGTCTTGTTGAATTTGATAAAGTTTTTGATAAATTTGAATCGCCTCCACTTTATCCTCATTCAAGCATTCTGAAAGAATTCCTGTACAAAATGCTGATAATGCTTGTTCATCATCATTAGCATTAAAGTCTTCGCAAAGGTATCGAGTAAATGCTTGTACTTGCGGATCAGACGAAAAAATTCTGATAAAGTCAAGGTTTTGTCGCCTGAAAGTCGTTTGGTTTTTAGTATCCACTAAAGACTTGCCATCCGGAAAAATACGTGTGAGTAAATCACGTAGACCTTGAGGGTCCTGAAATGTTTAAATGATATGTACATATATATATATATATTAATTTACGCTTGCAATGTATTATTAATTAAAAATAAATGTTAACAAAAATTTTACCTCTGTATATGTCAAATGCCCAATCTTTCTTTTTGTATATATAGTTGGATCTTTCCAAAATTTACGATCAAATTCTAAATTTTTTCCAAATTCCAATCGCATAGGCCAATATCTTGGACTATCAATTTCAATTGTTTGAATAAAACTTGATTCAGGTAACAAACAAGGTGCAACTATTACTTTGCTTTTGCTGTAAACTAAAATTTCTTCTCTATCATCATCTCTTATTACTTTTACGGCATTATAATAATCTTTAAATACAAGTTTCACCGGAATATGACAAGCCTCTCTGGTCTCAATATCTCTCAAAACCAAACATCTTGGTTCAACTGCCAATACCCACAAGTGTCTAAAAGCTTGCAAATGTGCCCTATTATCATATGGTTCAATCGGATATCTTGGAAATAATGCACAAACTAAACCTGCTATCGCTTTGTTGGACGTCGAAAGTGTAAAGTTTCCTCCCCCAAGAAATAGGAATCCTAATGACATGCTTGTTACCATATGTGTTCCATATGAATGCGAAATAGTACTTGAGCTGCTAGTATCAACTTCTTGTCGATGAAGTTTACGTATTCTTCGAAAGACTTCTAGATTTCCACTACCAGCAGCGACTATTGAGACGCTTGTAGATAAAACATTCAGACAAGATTTGATGGCTGACATCGTAATATTTTCATCGAATGTTGATGCTAAAAATTTAAAAGTATGAATCAGAATTTACATATATAATTATAACTTTGGGTAAAATATTACCTCTTCTTGTGCTCTCCAGTCCAATAAATAAATCAAGATAAGAAAGTAAGCATTTAAGGGCCTTTTTATCATCAGATCCTGCGTATTTAAGTGCCATACTGAAACAAGCTCCTGACAATATATAATAATACGACCTCCTAATAGATTCAAGGTTTTCATAATTGATATCGGGATTAGGCGTCAACTTTGATGTTATATATTGAGGTACATGACTTTCAACCCATTCTTTTGTAGACTGAATATTATCCCACATTATCAAATTTCTGGCAAGTGTTCTTATCAAAAGAAAATCTGGCCGCACATAATCCAAGAAAAATTCGGTTTCAGGGATGGGAATTTTATTTGCAACATTAACATTATTGGTTTTCAGATATAATAATCCAAGAGCTATCGTTGCTCCTGGTGATGTAATGTTAATGTTTATATTATCGACTCTAGCATTCGTATCATGTGCAGATAATTTCTCTGTTGTGCATTTATCACCAGAGATATATAATCTTAATTCTTTGAGCAAGTCAAGATCAACAGACGCGCGTGCACTATCACCTTGTCCCAAATTAATGAATCCAAGTGCAAACCCAGCAGCAAGCGAATAACCTTCTGTAAAATCAGTTTCAGAACTATCTGACGTTTTCAAAGCCTTTGTCGAAATTTCAGATAACATGACTTGAGACATGTATCGATCACATGTCCCCATATAGAGTAGTCCACAACCAAGAACGGATGCAGTTTGAATCAGAGGCGATACATTCAAACTAGTGGATTTTGGTGGGAACATAGCAGTAACATGAACAGCTACAAATTTCATAATTTCAGCATTCATGGTACCAATATATGAGGCTGGTAGACCAAGCACTAAAGCAATTGTTGTAATATCATGTTTAGGCGTCTTCATCAAATACTCAACTGCTTGCCACGTCGCCATAGATTTCAAATGACCATTCAGCCCTAATCCTAAAAGAAACCCCGCATGGCTGTTTGTTAGTTCTTTGGGCTTATTAAGAGAAATCCAAGATCCTTCGATGTCTATAGTTGAAGGAATTCGTAAACCCGATGCTACACCATCATGAAATTCCGGCCATTCAGCGGATTCTGGTAGTCGAAGCGCTCGCTCAACTTGAATAAGAGTGTTAAAAGGTAATACTTTGATTGCCAGACTTAATCCAGGAATCGGAAAAGGTTCCGTGGCTATTGGTGTAACAGTGCCATAAGTTAAGACTGCACGACCAATTGGATGTGAAAAATTCTTTAAGCATTGAATTTGAACACGTTCAAGTATTTGTGGAGAATTTTCATCATTTTGGACACTAAAAATAAATATAAGGTAACGTTAAATGCAAAAATTACCATTCCATATTAAGAGTTCGCCCGAAGTAGATTTTAAACAAACCTTAAATCCAGCGTAGGAAAATCAACTTTGATGGTATTACAAGATTGTAAAAGTTTTTGTACTTCTAGCAATCTTTTATCATTGCCAAATCTTAAATCAGTTATTTCATGGTTTGAAATTTCTGTTCCATTAATCTCTTCATGTTGATCTTGTGGCGAAATCGTGGGTATTGTCGATTCGACAATTTGTGTAATATTTTTTGGCTTCATTTCCTGAAATTTGGTAAAGATCTCAATTAATAATAAATTTATACGATATTAATACTGGCTTATACTTTTAATATAATACCATTCTGTTACCACGAGCATGTATATAACCAATTGGCATTCCAAACGTTAATTCAGCTAAGTCTTCTCGGCCTGAACGTTTATTAACAAATTAAATAGTATGAAGTTCACTTCATAATCAAAAAAAAAATTAAATAATTTAAATGTGCATACCAACAAGTATGTAGGCTTCTCCAGGCCAATCATTTGGAGGATCTTCTCGACATTTTCTTATAGCTTCACGTAAAGGAAGCGAAATGCCACATGGTAATGCGTCAATATCATTAATGGTATAGCCTATGTTCACTATTTCAAGAATCATTGACTTTTCTTCCTCGTTAATTAATTTGTGATAAATAGCACACACTTGTCGAGTTCTCTGACAACAATCAAAGTCATGGACCAGATTTTCATTTAATTCTGGGATAGAAAAAATTTGACCAATATCCAAAGGTGTTGGAAAAGTTTCCCTCGCTTCCATTGGCTTTCGAATGCATTTTAAGATCCATTGATTAATATCAGGTGGCGAAAAAAAGGGGTGATCGTGATCGAGATTCAACGCCGATTCCATAATCACACCTAAGGGAGATTATAAAATTCAATAGTAAGTAACGTATGGCAAAGTGCAAATATTGCAAATGAATTCAACTGACTTTCTACAAGCTTCAATTGATTCATTCCATAACTTCGTTTATAATAATCTACATAATTATCCCACTTTAAGAATTTAGCTAGTTGCATCAACAACGGAATAAGTTCATTAATGTATTGATGCGATGTGTAATTTAATTTTAAATCTTGATAAACCAAATGCAGAGAAATGAGAATTGAAGGTAAAAATGCTGAATATTTATTTTCTAATTGACAATAATATGCATAAAAAGCTTCATAAAGCCTCCGTGAGTTTTTAAAAGAATTAATCATTATATCGTTTTCCACTATGGTTGAAGGTTGAATACACCAAAGATGATTGTTGAAATTGAACCTGGTGTGTTTAAATGTTGATGAAAGAAAATTCCAATCACTCTTGTCGAATTCTCGGTCAATTGAATCTTGACCTTCCAAGCGGAAAAACGAAAGTAGAATAATAATGAAATTTTCCCATTCAGAGCCTCTTAATATATCTCTACACTCTTTGTTACCATATTGAAACAAGAAATATTGGGCTTTGAAATCAAAATATAGGGTTGTTGGTAATGCAAAGCTTAAAGCTTCCAAGCATGTACGAACAAGCTTTGAATTTGGAATAAAATTTAAGCTAATTCGTATAATGTCGTTTTTTAAGACCAAATTTACTCGATTATGAACCCAATCCTTTAGCCCCCGAATCTTATCTGAAATAAACTGATTTGCTACAAGATATTGTTGAGAAAATCGTTGAGAGTAAATTGTTTGCGAACATTTCGGATTATCTTTGTTTATTGGTTGATCTTTCCACTCCTCTCCATAGTTTCCCAATTGAGATTCAGTTTTAATTATTTCATAATTCAAATTCAAAGGAATATATTTATCGTATCCAATCCACAACTCTAAAGCCGAAAACGATTCATCTCTTGCAAATAAAATATCGTAATTTTTTGATCTTGTGGCCAAAACAGGAGCTGCAGCATCAACCTTGAGAACAAATTTGGGACTCACTTTAAATCCATGCGGATAAACAAGAATGTCTAATGCTTCAAAATTTTTTGTTGAACTAGCAAAAATGCATAGAATTTCGTGCCCATCCAAATCATGAGCGATGAACACAGAGGTTTCCTCGAATTTTGCTCTTTATTTGAAAAAAAAAAAAAAAAAGAAAAAAAAAAAATTCAGACAACACAATTACGAATAATATAGTATTAAATAATAATAGTAATTTTGACAATTACGTTTGAGCGATCGGTTCTGTCCAAATCAGTTCCAAGAAGGTATCAACATTAACATCTGAACTAATTTTTAAATCAAATATGTCTTCTGAGTTAGTCTTTAAACTATCTTCTTTTATGACCACATATTTATAAATAGAGTGTCGCAGAGTTATCCGATTTAAAGTAACCAAAATTGGACTCCCATCTTGCCCACGGTCGTTGACAAAAACTACTATATCATCGACATCTGAAAAGGGACGCGTCATTCCCTTTATGCTAATATTGGATCCATTATATATGATTTCATTTACAATAGAAACAGGTTTTATTTCTTCCAACGGATCTAAAA